GCTATTGGTGTAAGATTAGCAGATCATGGCACACCTCAGCTCAGTGTATAAATTCTGGCTCTAAGTTAACAGTAAAAGGTTTTGTATATAGATACACAAAAACCTGATAGCAAAGATAGTCCAGAAAAGCTGAAATATATCCTCACCCTTAGTTCCTGAAGTCCTTCCCCTAGCCTGGCTAATATGTGTAGACCAACAGACCAACTTTTTTTTTTTTTTTTTTTTTTTAATCAAGTTTTCCTGCAGCTCTGCCAGACAGCTCTGATCTTACTGTGATTTCACACCTGTTAAGAATAATCACTGGTCTAGCCAGCTCTTACTAGGAGAAAAGAGCAGGATTACATTTACCCATTTCCTCTTCCAACGTCAGTAGTGTCTTTAGATAGAAAATACGCATTCAAGGGCATAGGCAGCCTATACTATTTCAACTACAGCATGCTTAGCACAAAATTGTGACTGGAACCTAAATGCTAATGTCACCTTAAAGGATAATATTTTTCCAGGTGCTGTACAGAGTTTTAGGAGATAGTTTCAGAGATGAGTGCATAGGAGCAGCCAATGCACAGCTGCTCAAAACAGTGACATGCAGCAATTACGCATGTAGTGAAAAAAAGACCTCCTTCAAGAGAGCTGCTGAGGACAGCTGCAGACCAGCTCTGCTCAGCATTCATTAGCTTTTTTTTTTTTTCATTTTTTTTAATCCAGCCCTGGCCAAAACTTTAGATGATGATTAGACCCAAGATTTGTGTATTGTTACACCCTCTCCAACTCCGGCTGTAACTTCTTATCTGTGAGAGCCCCAGAATTCACAGTCCAGGATAGAAGTCTTCCTATCTCTGATATTTCTTTGGCACGCTGGGTACAACCACTTCTCCCACCATCACCTATTTCTAAACTGCCTTTGGGCAAAGCACCATAATCCTCACTGGAACAGAATAAACAGAAGCATGGACTGCCAAACACCTAAAAGCACTTGTGAACCCTGGGCTATGGCAGACAAAAAGCCTTTCAATATTCCTCCCAGCAAGTCTTCCACAGATGCATAATGACTTCTGTGCCCAAGCTCACTTACCCTTACACTCTAGTGATGTTCTAAATGGTTCTGTTATGTACATGACATACTTATTTGTAAGTAACCCTTCCCTTACAGATGGTGAGATGCCAGCTATGAATCAACAGAATTCATAAAGCTTTGCCAAAGGTTCTCGTAGCCCTGACCTGCGCACACGGGTGCTTTAAATACTCAAAAGCGTTCTGCTTTCTTCACACCTGAAATATGGCTCCTGTAGCCCTACACCTACAGAATCCACAAGCCATTACATGATAGCCCACGCAAAGTGAATTTGAAATGCAGACACATGACCTCAGACTCGGCTCATAAAGGGCGATCTGTACTGCAATGTTTGAGACTTACAAGTGCAAACACAGCAGAGGCACTACAGGGCTTATGTGAGAAAATAATTATTCCATGTAGAAAGGAAGTTGGCTCACTTTGAGCAGAGGTGTTAATAGACTAACCTTTTTCCCCACACCAGCCTGCTTACCTGAAAATATGAAAACATCTCCTGATGTGGTGTTGCATTTACTTGAGATGGGTATCATATCCTACACAAGTTAAATGTCTTGCTGCATTTCAGACTAAGATGGTAGTTAATCTGAATGTCAGTTATAAGATTTATTTTAAAATAAACGTTAGACAACAGCGCTGCAATTTTAGTAATTTGGGGGCATAGTGGCACATAGATCTCACTATACAAAAATGGCTGAACTTAAAAATTAATAATAAAGAAACATCAGAATAAATATCTTCCCCCTTCCACCAGGTTCAGGATAATTAACAAGAGCTGGATTCCAAATGGCAGCAACAAGACAGGTTCTTGGCAAACAGCAGATTGCTTCACCCCAGAGATCCACCAAAACAAGGTTAAAACCAGCAGTAACTGGAGCAAGGCAAAAGGTGGAGGGATCACAAAGATCTAAGGAAGAAGAGGTATTTAGTTCACTCTCAAAGGCAGCATATCTTTGTTCTCTAAACAAGCTTTGCTTTAGTCCCACTGTCTCCATTATGTGTCAGCTGCAATCAATGGCAATTCCTTTGCATTGGCAAAAGTGAGAGCAATTGTGTAGGCATAGCATTAGCAATTTAAGCACTGAGCCATCCAACTGATGTGGCTGCACCTGAGTAACGCTTCCCCCAGACTCATCTTCCTCTATGCAGTAAATTAGTTTCCTCTGCCAACATGCATGAAGTAGGCCCCTAAAACCTATATGAAGTTCTCAAATTAGCCCTGCTGAGAGATCCAAGCACTTGTGCAGCCATGCCTGCAGGCTGGGTAGGATCTCAGTGACGCTGAGGGCATGGGACAACCCCTTCCCTTGGCTTCTTTCCAGCCAGAACTGCAACAGGCTCCAGCCAGAACACACATCAGTAACATCCTCTACAGCAATAAAAGCATTAGCATCAGCAGCAGAGCTCTGCTGCTGCAAAGTGGGCAGCAGTGATTCGGGGCACTTGTTCTTCCAGCAAATTCCTCTTACCTCAAGGGGATGAAGGACTAGCATGGACAGGCAAGAAATAATTGTCTGCACCTCCTTCCTTGCAGTTCAAATATATAACCACTCCTGCCTAGTGCTGATGTACTTCTGGATAAATTTTGGGAAAGGACAAGGATAATATGTGTTGTCTCAAGTTGAACATACCCACACATTTTATTTAAGTTCACAAAAGACGCAGTGACTAATGTCATACACTTGTCTCCCAAAGTAGGAAAGTAGAAATAAGCTGCTGGCCCATTCAGTGGAAGTTGGAAGATACTGCCGGTCAGCTGCTAATCTGTGAAGGAAGGGTTCCCAGGCCACCCAGACCTCAGAGGAAGTCCTTCTTCAACACTTTTCTCAAGGCTATAGCCCTCTGTGCTAGCAACATTGCAATGCGAGCTCTGGAAGAGGAAAGGAGGGGGGCCTTGCATTACATACCCTTAAGTAACTCTTAAATCTGTTGCAATTAATTGGTCCACCTCTTTTGCTCCTCCTCAAACTGAAACTATCTGCCCTAAAGAAAGTTCGCTTTTGCACTGTTTGTGGATATGGGTGTGTGTACATGGGTGTGTGTACATGGGTGTGTTTGGTTTTTTATTATTGGTTTTATACACACTAAAATAAGCAAGTTGCAAGTCTGCCTGCTTTATGGAAATATACAACATAAAGAAATAATTTCTCATCAACAGCCCAAGGCAGATCATTCAAGCCATTTGCAAAGATGTTAGTGTGCTAATATACAGTATGCATGGGCACCTTTTACATGTATCACACATACCTATGTGCCTGGAAACAAGTCAATAACTCTCTACACGAAAGCTTGCATGTCTGCTCTTATTAGACATGGGATGGTGCCCTGGGGAGAGCCACAGGCATTCCATTACTGAGGATCAGTGCCTGAGCAGAATGGAAAGGCTGCTAAAAATAAGCAACATTTGCTCATTGGTATAAATAACAAAAGTGAGAGAGAAAGAAAAACAGAAAGAGAACAAGACGAAAATGAAAACTGGCCCCAGACCAGGGCTCACAGAATGACTAGTCACCTCCTCACTGCCAATTCTGTCACCATCTCCAGTATGGGCAAGGTACTTTTACAGCACCAAGTGCCCTCAGCTTCTCTACTGAGAGGACCATTACTTGCAGATTTGCCTGGGCCTCAGCACAGAAGGAAGCTCCCCTCAGCACATGCGTCTGCTCCTATGAGTTTCACGGCTTGCAAGCATTGAAACAAGGATGCAGCACTGCACAAACCAGCACACACCACCAGTGCAATCCATGTTAGTTTCTGAAGCAGCAATACAGTTTATTTCTGTTCTGTTTATAAAGTGAATTCTGGGGGAGAAGGAAAGGGGCACCACTTTCATTAACTGAACATTAAAAACGTTATCCTCTCTTTATTAAAGAAAAAATCATTTCTGGATTCCCCTTTTCTACCAGACTTCCCAGCAAATAGTTCCTAGAGCACGCTTGGCTTCCTGTTCTCAAGCACTAAAGCTGAGAAGTGCCTATCTATATTTGGAGAAAAATCAGCAGACCAAGCTAATTAAAAACTCACATTTGCCCTGTATTCCTAAAAGTACTGCACATCTCTGTGGCTCCAAACATCCCAGGGTGGGCTGCCTTTTTATACAGCTGCAAAGTTTGAAAGCTGAATATGCTTATGGTTATTTTTCACTTTAAGCTCTTATTAGTAAGAAAAAGAATAATTAGGAACCAGCTCCTAAGTGGAACTCTCAACCTTACCTCTGTTTCCACTTCATGCACTGTATTGTAATAAAGCACACCAAAATTCTATTAGCCCAACAATTAAACAAATTGTGGTATTAACAACTCCCACTCACTGCCTTAAGCAGGGTTAGCTGGGAGAGCTGAAGCAGCTGTCTCTGTCCTGTGCCTCTGCCAGAGGTCACCATCCTGCAGTGGGATCAGCTGATCCCGCTGGATAAACTCCCAAGCAAGTGCAGTCTGCAGGCTGCAGCATTAACATAAACCACCTCCAATTTCAGTTTACTCTGGCAGTAACCTCCTAGAAAAATAAAAGGGAGGAAACCTAAGATTGGTAACTGTTTCATCTCTTAGTATCAGATAAATCCACCTCTGATTACATTTCAAAGCCCTAAAAAATGAAACAGTTGAGAAGTTTATAATAATGTTCTGGCTTGCCATGAATTAACATGAATTCTCATAATGAAAAAGGTCACCAGCATAACCATTGAAACGCAGAGCTAAAAGAAGGGCTAAAAAAGGTCCTCTAAAGTTTATCCAGGTATGCGCAGACTTCAAACATTCTCAAAAATAGCTACAGCTGCTAGCTCTATGAAATTAAGCCCTTCCAGAACTGGAGCTAGGATAAATTTCAGTACCTCTCTCTGTACGGCCCAATAATGCTGGGAAGTCCACATTATTGTAGCTACAGTATGAATTCTTGACGCAGTAAAAAGACGAGAGGACAAGGATCCTACCTCAAGACGGCTGTTTTTCACACTGGAGTAAGAGATGGTCAGCTCAGAAAGGGTGGTCTCTTTAGCTCCCAAAGTAGAGATACCAACACTTACAATAGGGTTGCATACACATAACTATGGAAGAAAACAGCAGGTGGTTACAGTTAAGTTTCTGATGCATGCATTTCACACATTGTCAAATACACAATAAAGAAAGATGTCAGCTTCAAGTAATGGTATGAATGAGGAGAGTACAAAACTGTGGCTATACCTTGACTAAAGGCAAATGGTAAAGAAGGAGTGCCACTGCCTCCATAGTGTGGGATATGGGTGCAACAAGGTAAGAAATAAGGACAAGATTTGTTACACTTAGTCTCAAGTGTGATGCTGAGGAGGCTGGGAGGTGGGGGAGGTTTTACAAAAGGAGGATGATCTGCAATATCTGAAAGAGTTTTTCTTCATAGAGTTGAACCCCACACACATAGTGGCAACACCACAAAGCCCTGGTAGAGGTGCCTCACACTGAGACAGAGGAGAGAGATCCTCTGTTGTGGTTTCCACCACACTTGCCCTGTCCTCTTACACACAGCTTATGCTGACATCTCTCCAATGAGCCCAGAGAAACCAAACACTGACACAGTCACTTCCTGTGGTCCTCACACTCCCCATCCAGCCAATATGGGTGAGTTCTTTAGCAGAGTAGAACCAGTACACGATGCACAGACCTGACCATGCTACAGTTTCAGGACTGTCCCTCCCAAATGACCCAGAAGTACAGCAAGCTCAGGAGAGGAGCAGCAGCTTGGTGCCATTGGCTGCAGCCCCAGTGGACCAGCCGGCCCCTCAGTGCATGCCTAAACATGGATGCAGAAATGCAACAAGAGCATTGGTCTCATTTTTCCCTCTTCAATATTTAAAGCAAGTCAGTGTGCACAGTGTTGATGTGAGTAGTCTTTTTCTGCTCTTGAAAAGCAGTCCAGGGAGAGGGCGTTCACTGGTTTCTTACCTTACAATGTTTTTACCACAAAATGCAGAGGGTGACCAAAGACCAAACACAATGACATCATGACAACCAGTAAGAAAGTAAAGAAATAACAAGAGAAGGATTTTCCTTCAGCTTGCCTAGCATTAAAAGTTGTTAAATCAAATGAAGGGGGGAAAAAAAAAACATCTTGACAGTTGTATACATCTAAGAATTAAGGAAGATCTGAAAACACATTTTAAAATGCAGGTTGCCAAATCTGACTTCCTGAGTTGTTGAGCCAATGAAATTCACTCCATTTATACTTTTGTATATGGCTCTCGCTTGCAGTAGTATTTTTATTAAATATTCCAGACAACAAAAGGAAATAGCAAAGCCAGAAGGGAGACAAGACGTTCTTTTTCAGGGACATTGGAAACTGATTCAGCAAAGTGGGACAAGGAAAATGCTAGGAAATAAAAATCCACCCTACAGTTTAACTTAAGCCAGAAAGTACCAGTCTACACATAGTTTACATAACCATTTGATAGCTCAGATTTGGTTTAGAAATTGATATGCAGAAAACTGAACAATCAACAAATGTGGATAAATAGGCCATTTAGGACTTGAGAAAAAGCTATGTTAATAATATAATACAGAGAGAGAAAAAAAAAATGTATTTACCAAGGGTCATACATGTCTCTTTCTAGCAGGGAAGACCTGCTTTGAGAAATGCAGGAGCCCATTTTCTGTTTGTCCACTAAAGGAGCAGGTTAAAGAGAGGTGCCTGGCAGAGAGCAGGGCTGGGAGGGGACTGGAGCCTAAGAGCGGCTTGTCACCTTCCTTCAGATGATGCTGATGACAGTGGCATTAGCTGCACTACAATGCAGAAAAAAAGCAGGAGCTCTCACTAGCAGCTGGATCTACAGAGGCAGTAAGCAAGAATGTAATAATGCATCTTTGTAGTGTTCAGAGAGGAGAAAATAGCTAACCTAGAAGAAAACAAGAAAAAAAATAAAAGATCTATACCAGAAGCAAGAATGGGAAGGGACACATTGGTGTGGTGCAGGGACTGCCTGCTCCAGCGCAGTGGAAAAGGTTCCTACTACTACAGCACTGTCGTGTTCTTGCAGCACAGCTGTTCAGGGCCATGCCTCCCCCAGGGAAACATTGCAAGCAGTTATGGGTACATTAGGGAGGTTTCATCATGGACTATTCTGTTAGGCTCTGTGATGATCCACAGCCACATCTTACACCAGTTTTCTCTCACACAGCAAATTTCAAGATTACAGGAGGTAAAACTTTTGAAGGGAAAGTGCAGGCATTGAGATGGATTGTTTGCAGCCATCAGATTCGTGCCCTATTTTATGCCTGCAAATGCAATGTATACAAAAGGCGATTTGGCAATGGTGTGAAGAGGCTCTCTCTCTGAAATTCCAACCTTTCTCTCAGTTTCAGGCCATGCCATGCCTCCTATTTTACTTTCAAGCAGCTAACTGGCAGAGAAAACCATGATGTAAGCTAGTAACTACACAAAATTAGCCCTAGCCAACTGTGAATTCATTTGTTCTATTTGCAGTCTCTCCTTTGCTGAAACAAAAGTTGCTAAAGTCAGCATATTTCATCACGTTTAAAATTGTAACAACAGCAAAAGCACAAAGAAAAATATTGCTAATGCATATGATGAACAAAACTCCAGCCTAGGGATGATTGCGGCAGCAGAGAAATTTAGTATGTCTGACCTGCTTCACTGCCACCTTTCATTTTCTAGCTTCTGTTCAGCCTCTTTACCAAAATTAAAAACAAAAAGTAAAAATCGTAGTCTCTTTCTGTAGATAATAAAAGAAATTACTAGCCATGCTCATTTGTAGAATAAGACTTTTTGCAAGCTGTAAGTATCTCTACACAATTAATATCAAAACGAACAGCACTTGCTAAATAAATCTGCACTAATCTAATCTAACAGCACCTAAACACACTGTGTTTCCTATTGTTATACCCCTAGGAAAGATTTTCCTAGCCCTCCCCCGGCCCCTTTAACTTCCTGTACTTCCTGCATCTCAAAGGCACGCAAATGCATGCTTAACAGTTTCCCCCCTTCTTTGACACACACTTTTTTTTTTTTCTTTTTTTAAACAGGCTAGAAACAAACACACATGTATTTATTTACACTGTGATAGTCTCCAAAGGCACCATTCAGCCCTGTGGTTAAAGCAAACAACCAATGAGAAACGTAAGTCCAGAGTTCAAGCGGCAGCAATCAATGCGCTGAGTTCATATGCCGGCAAACGCCAGCATGTGGGTACCCACAAAACAGAGCACTGCAAGGTATAATTGCTTCCTCCATTAAATTGCATGGTATTTGATGTATGGAAATGTATTTCCTCTTGCATAGGATTTCTACCCCTTACATTGTCACAAAAACTGGTTTCTGTTACCTTGGTCACTGCACGTGAGTTACCATGATGACTAGGCACAACCCTTATATCCACTCCGTCAAATTACATGGGCAGGTCAAACATTATTAGAACAAAGATGGAAAATTCACAGCCAAATGTGAGTATGGTTTCTTGACTTGGATAAGATTTAATTAAAAAAAAAAAAAAAAAAAAAAAAGCATCATTTTCAAAGAAAAAGGCAAACATTTTCAAACAAAAGGACCGCTTAATCTGTATTTGGACATTCTAATTAAAGCCCAGTCCTTTGTTAGGAATCTATATACTGTTTAAATCATAGCCTTGGTAACGTAGCCTTGAAGTGTTCTGCTAGCTAGCTTCCAGCAGCAGAGCACAACCCATAGTTCCACCAGGACTTGCCCACCACAGCAAGCTATGAGGCTGTCACTGTTGGCTGAGACACACCTGGGTCCCCTTGCAAAAGAATCCCTCTGTGAAAGCACAGAAAAGAGTTCATTGTTTGCCAATCATGCCAGCACTGGCTCCAACAAATCTTATTGCAATAATCAGCATACTCTGCCTACTTCACTGATGAAGTGGATCGCTACACTGGTCTGAATAATAACTATTGAGTTGCTTTTTCTTCTTGCTTGTCTGATACCATTTTTAAAAATGCATCTCTACTGGATAAAAAAAAATGTCAAGCAGCAAGGCTGGCTCCAGCACAAGCAAGAGAACTGCCCCTCCTCAACTCTACACCATCATGCTTGGTTGTAAAAGGCAATGGTCGAGACAGCTACTGCTGTCTATTAAGGATTAGTTTTTCCATGTGGTCTACCTAGTGGGAGTCTTTTAAGAGAACAAATCCAAGGTTCAGGTGAGGATACCAAACTGTGGTATTAGGCATAGGTCACTGAGGTGCTCCCTTCACACTCAGAAGAAGTGTGCCTTTCAAAGCCTTTGCTTTGAAACATAGAAAATGTTTCCAGAAGGTAGAAATCTTATAGATGAAAATAGATTGCCCTTGAATTTTGAGGCCAGGAGATGTCTACCAGATGAGTAGGAAAAGACCTCTTCCCTCCCGTAATCAATCAGAACAGGCATTCCAAGAAAAGAACCTCCAAATGTGTTCTCCTAGACATGGTATAAATATCCAAGCATGTTTAGGCTAAACCATTACCATACAGCTGGTAGAACCACCCGGCTCTTGCAAACAATTTACTATGTGGCCTTAAACAAATCACGTGTGATCAGCACTAGAGGAAAAAAAGTTTTCTGCTCCTTTTCTTTTCACATATAAAGGCATTATATGAAAAGATGCTGAACAATTGGCTTTTAGCCAGGGGAAAGGGGGGGGTGGAGAGTTTACATACTTCCATTTATAGGGAATCATCATCTTCCTAGTTTTGAAAAGAGGTTTTTCAATGAAATCACTAAAAGGTCACTGCAATAAGTAAGAAAGTGAAATTTTCAGATGTATCTAGTAACAGGTATGAGGGCATTACAGCAAAATAACAAAAATACATAAGAAAGCATTTCGGAAAAAAAAAAGCATTCATTACATAAAATAAGGCATATTCATAGCTCAGAAAAAAAGAACAACCATCTAAGGGCTAGACACAAAACATAAAGCTCCTCTCTATCCTTTGAAGGTCACCCTTATTCTTGGCGAGGTTCTCCCTCTACAGAAGGCACAAAAAAAAAAAACCAAAACCACATCACATACATCTGCTAATTTCCTCTACAGAATTAATTCTTCCTTAAGATTTTTTCAATTT